AACGTCAAAGATTTTACCTAATCCGGTGAGATGGTTCACAATGAGTGAAACGCTTTTGAACGTCAAATATTGTTTCGCCTTGTTGCATCCGGAACATCTCGTATTCTTGGATTAGAGAATTTTTCCTTGCTCTTTTAACGTCGTCAGTACCTTCGTGGGTCACTCTTAGCATTTCCCACATCTCCTGAGCACTTTTACAAACAGAAATCCTGTAAAACTCGTCAAGCGTTAAAGCAGATGAAATTATATTTCTAGCCCTAACGTCAAATTGTGCTTTTATGTTTTCCTCTGCAGTTCATCTAGAAAAAGGTTTGGGAACGTCAACACCGTTCTCAGTAACTTTAGGAATATATGGACCGTTTAAAATAGCATCCCAAACGCCTCTATCAACAGACTCTAAAAAGATTTGCATTCTTACCTTCCAGAAAGGATAATTTTGATCCGCAAAAAGTGGAGGTCTATTGATAGATGCACCTTCGACAAAAGTTTGATTTTGTCCGGCCATTTTCGAAAAGTTTGAATGACTATCAAAGCAAGCTCTGATACCACTTGTTAGAATCGCGCAGCGGAATGTTCGCGTGGTCGGACAAAAACCAAGAGGGGGGTGAATTGGTTTCTTAACAAAAAATTAGGTTTTCAAAATTTTCCCCAAATTTTACCGATTGTGTAAATGTAAATAGAGAAGAGATAAAATCTTACACAGGAGATTTATACTGGTTCGGATCAAAAGACCCTACGTCCAGTTGCTAATCACTCAAACAGAGGATTAACGCTGTCACTATAATCAAAGTTTGTTACAAATAAATTACAATGGAAAAGATAAAGTAAAGAAAACACCTCTCTAGAAATCCACAAGAGATGAAGAACAGCTTTCCCTAGAGACGGCACAGCACACAATCAACTAAGAACTCCACTTAGTGATTCTTATCGCTTCTAGCCCACACCAGGTTCCAAAAGCCCCTTTTTCTTGCAACAAACAGTTCTCTGGCACTCACAGCACTTAACTTTTGTATGAAAAAGGTTGTTCTTCTTTTCTGAGTGCCATAGAGATGCTTAAGTAGAGAAATTAGGGTTTTGGAATTGGGATTTTTGAAACTAGGGTTCTTGGAAATAGGGTTTTCGAAAATAGGGTTGATTTGAAGTTAAAATTCGAAATCTGACTGAAATAATCGATTAAATCAAGAGTTAATTGATTATTACAGAGCCAAAATCAACAGAACTCCAAAACTCTCTGTTTTAATCGATTAAAAGACCTGTTAATCGATTAACAGGCCTGTTAATCGATTAACAGGCCTGTTAATCGATTAACAGGCCTGTTAATCGATTAAAATAGTGAGCTGATACAGAAAATGGTTTTTCTCACTGTTTTAATCGATTATTTCACCAATTAATCGATTAAAGCCGAGCCTCTTTGATAAATTTGAGCTTTTTGAAGCTTCTAAGGTACAGACTATGTACCGGCTATCTCAAACTCTAATATTACAGACTCAATCTAATCAAAACAGAGTTATTACACTACAAAACAAGTCTTCAACTCTTTAAGTCTTGTGTTCTTGAATCATCATCAAAATCAACAAGCTTCATGTCTATCAAGTCTAACATCAAGTCCTTGAATGTTCAACACCTTTATCTCCAATGTATTTGCACCACCAATATTTTTGGTTCCAAGTATTCTTCCTTTATTTTTGTCCCCATAGGTTACATATCCTTGTTCCTTTGCTTTGAAACTCACAAATTTCTGTTTATCTCTAGTCATATGTCTTGAACACTCACTGTCAAGATACCACATAGACTTCTTGGATTTGGAAGTTTCCTACAAAACAAGAACATAGTAATCTTAGGTACCCATAACTTTTGGGTCCTTGGGGTTAGAGACAATCAAATCATTTAACTATAGGAACCAAAACATATTTTCCCTTTGGAACACCAAAATGCTTAATTTTACACCTATTAGATGTATGTCCTTGTTTCATACAATAGAAGCAAGTATTAGATGTAATTCTTGAAAATGGTACATTTTATTTTTAGACCCTTTTCCAATCCATACTCTTTGGGTTCTTTTACTTTTAGGTTTTTTCATTGTAACATGACAATTTTCTCTAGATTATACGATAACTTCATCCTTATAACATTCACTTAATTCTTTCTTAGCTTTATTAAGTAAGTGGCTAAGTATGTCAATATCATATTCATATTCTTTACATGAAGCACATGTTATTTGTTTATTTCCTTTTTTCTCTAAACATGCAATTTTCGTTTTCAAGGATTCCACTTCTTTTTCTGATTTATTTAAACACTTTTTCAAGGTTTTATATTCACATTTTAAGTCCTTAAAAGCAGTAAACAACTCTTGATATACATTATGCAAGGCATCATAATCATTTTCATCATCACTTGAAGAACAATAAGAATCACTTACCTCATAGTCAAAAGAAATATCGTCATTTGTCATCAAACAAATATTTGCTTCAATTTCTGAATCGCTTGACTCTGAACTTGACTCACTATCATCCCAAGCTATATAGGCTTTCTTTTTGAAGAATTTCTTTCCTCTATAATCATCACTTTTCTTGTTGGGACAATCGGATTTTACATGCCCTGTTTCACCACAACCATAACATTTAAAACTTAAAGAAGAACTTTCTTTTACCTTTTCCTTACCTTTGAAAGGTTTCTTCCCTTTGGCTTTCATGAACTTTGTAAATTTCTTGATCATAAGACTCAAGTTTTCATCTTCTTCATTTTTTTGAGTCTTCTTCCTCCTTCTTGTTCTTGATTTTAGAAACTTCAGTTTTGAAGGCTAGATTTCTCTTTTGATGTTGGCCTTCTTCATCGTTTAGCCTTCCGAGTTCAAGTTCATGCTCTCTCAATTTTCTAAAGAGAGCCGCCATAGTCATGGTAGCAAGATTTTATGACTCCGTGATGGTCGTCACCTTTGGTTGTCATTTTCTATCCAAAGATTTAGGAATTTTCACATTTAATTCATCAGTATCAAAAATCTTACCAAGTCTAGTGAGATGATTCACAATATGTGTGAAACATTTTTGAACGTCAAAGATCGTTTCTCCTTGTTACATTCTAAACATCTCACATTCTTGAATTAATGAGTTATTCCGTGCTCTTTTTACATCATCGGTACCTTCATGGGTTACTCTTAACATTTTCCACATTTCTTGAGCACTCTTACAAACAGATATCCTATAGAACTCATCAAGGGTTAAAGTAGACGAAATTATATTCCTAGCCCTAACATCATATTGGGTTTTCCTATTTTCTTCAGTCGTCCATCTAGAAAATGGTTTAGGTTCTTCTACATCATTTACAGTAACTTTAGGAATAAAAGGACCATTTACAATTGCATCCCATACACCCCTATCAACAGACTCCAAAAATATTTGCATTCTAACTTTTCAAAAAGGATAATTTTACCCCGCAAAAAGTGGGGGTCTATTGATAGAAGCACCATCGGCAAAGGTTTGGTTTTGTCTGGCCATTTTCGAAATTTGAATGACTATCAAACCAGGCTCTGATACCACTTGTTAGAATCGCATAGCGGAATGTTCACATTTAGGGACAAAAACCAAGAGGGGGGTAAATTGGTTTCTTATAAAAAAATTAGGGTTTTAAAATTTTCCCCAAATTTTACCGATTAAAATGCTTGTAATGTAAAGAGATAAGGGAAAGAAGATTACACAGTTTATTTATACTGGTTCGGATAAAAAAACCTTATGTCCAATTGCTAATCACTCTAAAAGAGGATTAACGTTGTCACTATAATCACAAGTTACAACAGAATACAAACTGAAAAAAGATAAGGATTAGAAAACATATCTCTTGAGTCACACAAGAGATGAACACCTCCTTTGAATCCACAAAGGATGAACAACAGCTTTTCCTAGAGACGGCACAACACACAATCCACCAAGAAATTCATTCAGTGATTCTTATCGCTTCTAGCCCACACTAGGTTTTCAAAAGCCATTTTTTCTTCCCTACACAAAGTCCTCTAGCAATCACAACTCTTAACTTTTGTATAAAAAATGATTATTAATTTGTAGAGAGCCTTAGAGAACCTTAAGTAGAGAGAATAGGATCTAGGAAATAATGATTTTCGAAAACAGAAGAATTGGGAATAGGATTTTCGTAAATTGGTCCAAATTTGAATTTCAAAACTCATAACAGACGTAGATAATTGATTATCTTGAGTGATAATCAATTATTACAGAGCCATTTTCGTAGAGGAGTAAAACAGGACCAGTATAATCGATTATCTATGTAAATAATCGATTATCTAGTTGGGATAATTGATTATCCTGAGTGATAATCGATTATCACAGCAAGGTTTTCAGAAAAACAATTTTCAGTGCAGGATAATCGATTATCCTAACTGATAATCAATTATCACAGAGTGGTTTTGATAAAAATGAGTTTTCAGATGATGGACTATGTGCTGGCTATCTTGTACTCTAATTATACAGCCTCAAAAATATAAAACAGAGTTATTAAAAGTAAATACACATGATTCTAAGTCTTTAAGTCCTTTGTTCTTGAATCATCATCAAAATCTTCAAGCTTCATATCCTTGTATGTTTAACAAAGATAACAAAAATACTAGGGCAATATATCTTGAAACTCAATTCACGAACACGAACTTAGTAGATTTCTCCACAACCTCCGCATATTGCAACCTACTCAAATCTCTTGTTGACCAATTATCCAATGTTAGGGCTCCTATTTCATATCAACGTCTAGTGTTTCGTTTGCTTGCAAGCATATGCTAGTTTTATCACAGTTATGCAACAAAAAGATGACTTCCCAAGTTTTTCTATAACATGTTCTCGATTGATGTTAGAAGAGATCACGATTAAGGAGCGAGTTGTGGATGAAGGCTCCAATTCACAGTCGTAACAACATCAAAGTAATATACCAATAATTCTTAGGGTCGTCATAATACCAATGACAACAAGAAAACCAACTGAGGCAGAGGTAACAACACTCACAATGGCAGAGGCAAACATGGCAGTGGTGGGGGTGCAAGTGTTGCAAAAAATGGTGCATCACAAGTGGTGGGGGTGACAAGTCGATTACGAGGAATCTTACAAGTGAGCTTACAAAGAAAAGGTTTGATTGGTCTCAATCAATTCATGATCATGTGACTGAAATGTCTAATCTGGCAGCAAGGTTAAGGTCTATGGGGAATGGAAGTGAGTGAGTCATTCTTAGTGCAGTTCATTTTGAACTCCCTTCCTGTTGAATTTGGCCAGTTCCAGGTGAATTATAACACTCTTAAAGAAAAATGAAACTTTCAGGAAGTTAAGACCATGTTAGTTTAGAAGGAAAGGAGATTAAAGAAAATGAAGGATGACCCTATTCATCTCATGACTCATGATAGAGTCAATGGCAGTAAGAGCAAGCCAGGTAGAAAGGATAAGGGTAAGGTCCAATTGAAGGTCAATAAAGGTAAAAATCCATAAGGATAAGAAGTGTTATTTTTGTAATAAGAAAGGTCACTTCAAGAAGGATTGCCCTAAAAGGAAGAAATAGTTTGAAAAGAAATGTATATTTTATATATTTGTAAATTTTGAATCAAATCTTGTTGAAGTACTTGATACCTAGTGGCTTGATTCTGGTGTAACTACTCATGTGTCACATATTTAGTAGGGATTCCTTTCGATTCAAACTATAAGAGGAAATGAAAAATGTCTCTTTGTGGGAAACAGAATTATGTCAAGAATAGAGGGTTAGGACGTATAGATTGATCTTGGATGCTAGAAATTTAATTTTTGTTGCAAAGTTGGATACATTAGGATTTCATTTCAAGATTGGACACAATGTATTTTCTTTGTTTAAAGAATGTGTTGTTATACAATGATAGTAAAATAACCATACTCTTTTCATTGGTCTTCCTTTTATATTTTGGAATGTAATTTTAATTTTATTATTTTTAATCTCCATATTTTATTCTAATCCTTAATCGGTATAAATTTATTTTTTATTTTTCATATTTAAATTAAATAAATTATTTTTGGTCATATTTTGAATAAATATATTATGTGCCGAAATCAACTGCACTTAAGTAAAAAAGACATAAAAATATGTAAAATTGGAACAAAATTAAAGAGTTTCTAAATATATGAAGACTAAAAATCTTGACAAAAAAAAATGACAAACTCTCTCTTCTTTTTCTTTTTTTAAATAGAGACAAAACTCAAGTATCTTCCATGGAAAATAACTTTGCATAAGTCAAGTAGAATTATTATGGATGACAAACTCTTCATTTAACTATTATGTTTGAATTATCTCAAACTAGCATCAGTGATTTTCTTTCTCTTCTTCTCTACATAAAGGAAAAAAAATGTGTTTTCTTTTACACTCTCTCATTTATCTAAATAAACACATCCAGGATTGTTTATTTATTTTTCTCTTTTTTATCCATCCAATTTTACTGTATTTCTCTATAAGTCCCCAATACTTTATTCTTTATTTTTTACCATTCAAACAAAGCATAACCAAAATTTTTTTTCTCAACAATTCAGTGCGTATGTGAAGAGAGTAACAAAAAAGTTGCTCACTCTTTACAAACTACCTACTTTTGTTTTCAACTCCCGTACCTTTGCAGTCAAGTGTTCTACTATTTTAAACATTCTATAAAGAAATTGGTTAAAACATTATCTTAAAGATGAATATAATGGTTTAGAGAATTGCTATAAGATGGTTGAATGACATTTTTTAACCTTTGATTAGCGGGAAAAATTTTGTCGACTTCTTATGCATAAAAACATATTTAAGCTTTATTACATATGTGACGAATACCGAGTAAGTTTTATTGTCCACATGAATTGCATATGAAATATGCATTAAGAAAATTGGATTAAAAAATTGGATTTTGTATAAGCGTGCCCGCATCAAAGCAATGTTGAATCATGGACAGGTTACCTAATTATTTGAAGTATGATTATTTGTTAATTTTATTCTGAGCACGTAATGATTGATGGAACCTTCTTTGACACCAACTTGGGCGTTAAGACAAGGACCTACTTGGAGTAGGGCGATGTAAAATATATCCTTCACTCAAGGGCCCAAATTAAGTTTTGAATTTTGTATCGTTGTTGCTTTGCCATTTAAATATCATCCTATGATACGACTTCTGAACCAAGATGGAAAACTAAAATCAAGAACAACGACACAACGAGCAGATGGGACCAAAGTATTAAAATTGGCTCTAGAACTCAGCTTCATCTCACTTCTCCCACCCAGAAAGACCCATTGAGAAATCTTGACATTTTGTAGTTTTGCACATGTTGTGACAATTAGCTTGCTTTCTTTACTTCTACTGCTTTACAATTAATCCACGAAAAGAGCAACTAATTGATGATGAAAATCGAATCAAGTTCCAATTCCAAGCGCATGAATTAACTACTTTTACCCACTGAAATGTTGGTGACAACCAGTTATTTTAAAGAAAAATAATTTAGCTCGTTTCATGCATATGAAACCATTGCAAATCAACATAATAAAATTTCAAAATATTCATTTAGAAGACCGTAATAGCCAAATAATCAATTGGGGCGATGAAGTCATTTTTGGCTGCCCTGTCTTTCGCTTCGCCCCATCTCTGTCCCAGACCTCCGTGTCCATCCTCCGTATTTCTAGAACCCCTCCAAACAAATACTATTAAATCAATTCTTTTTGTTAAATGAGCTACACACATTTTTATTATAATAATTGCGGCAATAATCGTGTAATATCAAAATGTTGATCTTTCACTATTTGCCCATTCAGTGTATCATAAGCCCAAGCATCAGTTGCTACGTCTTAATCCAAGTATATTATCTTAAACCCGACATTAGAACTTTTTCCGTAATTTAAAATGCAAGTATTATATAGCCCCAGCTAACCTAGCAATGCTAAAAGCCAAAGACGTTGCTCACATACGCATAATTTGGATAGGATTATTCCCAACCTACTTCAAATTATATATTGTGACAAAACAATCAAACGATAGACTCCATTCTAACCGATCACATGTACTATTCGAAATGGCCTCTTCTATTCTGTTCTCGAATAATATTTGAAGAAATTAAAATAGAATTAAAAAAGACTTAACGACCACATGGAGGCCGGAACAACTTGGAAGACTCCAAGTCAGTGACTACGTGTGATCCCAGGGCAAGGGGAATCGGTCCCCGCACCCTCACAATATTCAGACACTTAAGCAACTACGCCATCACGATCTGTCAACCCACAGAACATAACCATTGAACATGATTTGTTCAACCTCCTACTACCTTCACTATGCTCTCATGACAGTAACTCTTTAAACGTGTTTATCTTTCAAATAAAATTACATTTTCATGGATTGAAGAGATGGAATAGAGGAGAGATGATAACAGAAAGAACTGGAAAATATCCGTGCGGCGAAAAGGACAAAATGAGAGAGAGAGAGAGAGAGAGAGAGAGAGAGACCAACCGTACGAGTAAGATAGCTCTCAAAACAAGTGCTCCGCCGCTGCCACCGAAGCACTGCTTCCCTCAGATTCGGAGAGCTTAGCTTTAAGTTTAGTTGCCAACGCAATCCACAAACTCATTGGATAGTTTTCATGCCTCATTTGTCTACTGCTGCCGGCAAAGATACCCTTCCCCTATCTCAAACTAGCCGCCTCTCTGTTCATTTTGGCTTCTCTCTCAGTAAACGTGGCCAACTAAGCTTGCTACCCAGCAATATACGTGTTTGTCTCCTCCTCCTCCTTATTACGTTATCAACTATAAATAACTACAACAAGCCATAGCACAACAGTTCAGCTTCTCTTGTCTTTGTTCCCACTGGCAAAGAAGCAAAATTGCGGCACCAATATCCCAGAACAAACACATGATATTTGAACAATATTTAAAGGACACGCAATATTTGCACATGGGCCACCGCTACCCACCAACCCCACTCACCTAGGTACTAAATCCGTAGTTCGGATTATACCGCTTGCGGTTAACACAATCATGATCATTCATGAAATAAGAGCAAATTCCCAGTAATAATCAAACGCCAACCCAGACACATAGACAGACACCACACCAGCCATGAAAACAAATTAATCAAAATTAATAGTGCTAAGTAACGACGGTTGCACTGATTTAAATTAACAGATTGCTTAAAAAGCACAAATAGTATTCTCCACTTGAATTCCTAGTTCCCACTCGATTCACTTGGGCACAACACAGTTTTATCCCTACACTACAGAAAGCCAACATAAGCTAACTAAATTAACTTCATTGCTCAACTTAAACACATGAAGAAATTAAAGCACCACCATTTTCTTTATTTTATCTTATTTATTTTCAGAGCACAAACCACAAAATAGAAGATACTGTATGTAGAATACAAATGGCCTGAGAAACGAAGTCTAATAAAAATGGGTGAAGTAAAATATCTGATCTGTTTGTTCACAGTAAGGAGAGGAGAGAAGAGAAGGGAGAACAGAATAATAATAATAAAAAAAAATAGAGCGAAATGAGAATTAAATTAAATGAAGAGAAGTGACAAAACAGTGGAGGGAATTTACCGGCGACTACCCTGCCATAATCAGTGAGAGTGTCCGTACAAATCATAAGGAGCCCAAAGTGCGTCAAGCGGACAGGGCTGTTTCGAGTCCAATCGGAGCCAGGGCTTGCCACTACCGGACCAATGTAACAGACTCACAGGCCCAGCGTGAAGGTCCCGGCAACTCCCCTTCACGTTATCGCCACCCAAGCCGTGCTGGTTCCACCTGTGCTCAATGGGCGACACGTGTCCCGCGAACACTAGCAGAAACGGCGGCAGTGAACCCAGCTCGTAGATCCGGTCGCTCTTCTGGATCTCCATCCACCTCTCTATCCTTCTACTGTAACCGTATTTCCGCCACCGCACCAGATCTATCACCATCACACCCGAGTTGAAGTAGCACGGCCTCCGCCCCGCGAACGCGCTCGCAAACCGTGCGTCCGTCCAAAACCCCGCCGTGAAGTACTTAGTGAAGTTCGCGTGACAGTATTCGGGCGCGCCGATGGTTCTAGAACCTAAATTGGTGCTCCACAGTTTCGCAATGTCGTCTACCACGACTAGATCCGAATCTAGATATATAACCCTCCCCACGCAACTCTCGAGAAGATCCGCGAGGTAATTTCTGGCGTAGTTGAGAGGTTGTTCCAGGGCTTGGCGCACCGAGGTGGAGATCAGGTTGCGCACGATCTCCGGATCGAAGTAATAAACCTTGAAGTTCAATTGCGGGAAGGTGGATTTGACGAGGGATTGTAGATTTGTCTCGGAGACGAGGAAGTGGAAGAAGATGTTCTCCGGGCACTGGGAGTGTTGGAGGATGGAGTGGACGGCGGCGATGGAGCCTCGGAGGTATTCGACGTCGAGAGTGATGGCGACGTGGACTAAGGAGGGGTCACAGACGCTGGTGTTCTTGGAAATGGTGGTTCGATTGGAGGCGCATTTGTCGGCATTGCGGAATGGCGCCGCCCGGCGGAAGGAGAACGGCGGCGTCTGGAGCGGGAGGCGTAGGAGGCCGTCGAGGTGGGAGGAGCGGATGGCTTCGGCCGGGTGGAAGGATTGGAGGGAGGGGGAGAGGACAATGACGAGCATTGCGGCGGAGAAAAACCCCGAGAATCTCATGAGCCACAACATCTTGATGCGGCGGAACACCCTTCTTAGTGTTGGTGAGTTGATTTTCCTCTTCTTCTTGTTGGAATTGAAATGGGTGATAAGGGAGGAGAGGGAAGCTAGGGTTGCCTTTAAGTCAGCCAGACTGGGGATGGGGATGGGAATGGGAATGGGAATCGGTGCCTTTCTCAATTGGAGAGTGGATGATGCCGTGGGGACGAAGCGAGCGAGGAGAGAGAAGACGACGGAGAGGAATCCATGCTAAGATGCGCACCGTCTCCTCTTCTTCCCTTCTTCCCCTGCTCTAATGTTTCCTCCCTCCACTGCTTCTCTTCAACCAATGTTCTTTTTCTCTCTACTACGCCAATAACAATAATAATAATAATAATTATGATTTTGGAATTCGAAACAAACCGGTTAAACACGTTGCAGTAGCACGGATGCAGCAAAGAGAGTCACACTCTCTCCCACACTCACACCTGCACCTGCTCTTTTTTCTCTCTTTCCAGCTTAGCTTTGCTTTGGGATCACAATTTCCACCATAAAAATCTTTCACAACCCCAGAATACAATTATCACTTTTAAGAGCCCACATTTTATAATTGTTTTTCTTTATTATTAAATAATAATGTCATTTTTATTAATTTGGTACACAATTTCTTTTTTTTAACCATAAAATTGAATATGCCTTTCTTCCCTCATTATGTAATGAAAATGAAAATAATCCCTTATGCTATTGTGTCTGTGCAAGGACCAGCTGTCCCTCGCTTCTGTCCCAACTCACTGCACTCTCACGCCACGTTTTATTCATTATTTATATTTAAAACATCATATTGTTATTCACAAAATAATAATCAAATAAAAACATAACATACTTTTTAATCTACCCTTGAAAGACACATTTACATGAAAACCCATTAATAATTTTTTTTACCTTATCATCTCTATATGATAAGATTTTTTTTAATTAGATAACTAATAGTATAAAATCATTTTAAAACTATATAAAAAGTTAGGCAATAAATAGAGAGTAATATGACCTTTTTCCATCTTGCTATACTCTGGAAGATCAAGCAATATACTTACTACTCTCTGCTTTCTAGTTTGTTTTCCTTCTCTGGTGGGTTGGTATGCATCTGTTGATGTTTTTAGTAGAAGATTTCATCCCATGCAATTCTATGCATAATAGTGTATATATATATATATATATATATATATATATATATATATATATATATATATATATATATATATATATATATATATATAAAGTATAATTTAAGCATATGATGTGTATAAATAAAAATTAAAAAATAAAATATATCATAATAAGTATTAAATTAGAACTTTTAACAAATATATCATGTATTCTGGGAAGACAAATGAGAAAAATAAACATTTTTCTTCTTCTATTATAATATTTGTTTCATACTAAATACCAAAATAAAGCTGAAGTGTGTGGTAAAATTTGTTGTCAAGCTCTTGTTGTATTATAAACTCACAACGTCACAAAGTTGCAAAATATTGAACTATCTTGGATTTTAATGTATATCTTTAGTGTTTACTTACATTACATGTTTTCTTTTAATACATTTTTACAACTACTTTTTAGTTGAGGTATTCTTGGAAGATAGGATCTTTCTAGTAGAAAATAAAATGCTTCTTTAAAATGTTTAATTACATGTTTAAAACTTAAATTTAAAATCAATTGTTATTTGAAATCATCTTTTATCAATACACCCAGCTAATAATATATCTTGTTTATTTTAATTTTATAATATGAGTTTCATATCATCAACTTTTAAAATATTCTACTCTAAAAGAAGACTTGTAATTTTTTTTTATTTTTTTAACTCACTAAAATTAATCTATTAGTGGAGAGTTATTGAATAGCTTGCCTTATTGTTAGGATCCACCTCATCATATACGGATCTTAGAAGGGACAAGAAGACTCTCCCAAGCTTTTATTTATTTTTTTATTTTATATATATATATATATATATATATATATATATATATATATATTATAATAATTATAAATAATTGTTTAAAATTATACAAAGAATTTAATAAATGTTCAACCGTAGATATTATTTTTTTAATAAGGATTTTCCGGACATCATTTTTATGTGTTAAAATATCATAAAAATGTATTTTATAATCTTAAATGTTTAAAATTTATAAACCTTTCTATAAAGTTATAACAATATAATATTCACTCTTTATTTTATTTTCTATCTAATAAAAATTATAATAATCCAAAAATATATAGATATATAATTTAAATATATAAAATAATTTAAAATATAAATTTCTTTTATATATATATATATATATATATATATATATATATATATTACATATCATAAAAAAATTATTATATAATTTGCTTCAAATTTTCTTGATCTTTATTATAATTTATAAACAACACAAAAAATACATTAAATAAGTTAATGATTTAAATAAATATATTAAATTTAAATTTGTTATAAAAACAAAAATTACATGTATTTTTTCATATATTAATATTACATAAATTTATTTTCAAATTAATACATCATATTAATTTCTTTCCTATTAATATCATATCAATTTACATCATACAAATATCACATTATCTCCATACAAATTCATATTTACCTTGTAGCACTAATTTTTAAAATAATAAATATCAAATTAGATATTAAAGATGCACATTTGTCAATATTTAACATAAAAATATTTAATATGGTATATACATGTTACTATTAAGAAAAACACTTTTGATAATGATTATTAACTTTCTATGTCAATTCTCTAACATAAATATAGGCTACATATAAAACTTATATTTTCTATGTCCGGAATGTTCCTATTTGAATCTTTTCAAATTTGTGACTCTCTCTTTTAGTTTTGTTGTTACAAAAATTATTATACCAAAGATTAAGCAATTTCATTGCATTTATAAGTACATAATCCACAAAGATTTTCATAATTTCACAAAATAAAAACGTATGTGAGAATAATCTCTTGTTTTTTAACATTAATGGAAAAAAACAGAACTCATAATATATAGCAAGAATAAAAATATAAAAGGAATACAGAATAGAACCTTGGGAGCATGATAAATTTTCATGAAATTAAGAAAGTGAATAACCTGTGTAGTAAAAGGAAATACAATATGGTTAAGTTAAAGGAATGAAGAAAATGAGTAAATACGAAAATAACTAAACGTTTTTTACATTAAAAGGACTTATAATGATGGTTGAAATATAAACTGATATAAAAAGTTATTTATTATAACAGTTTAAATACAAATTAACATAGAAAATTACTTTTTATGACAGTTTAAATTTAAATTGATATAAAAAGTTTTTTGTTATAATAATTTAAATTTAAACTGTCATGATAAGTTTTTTATAATGACAAAAATTATCATCGAATAATTTATTATGACAGTAGATTACCACATTTATTATAAGTCATCAATAAATGTTATTTTTACATTAGTGTGTAGCAAGGTAAATTTATTCAACACTTTTTTTTCATACTTAAATTTAAGTCATTAAAAATGTCCTTAAACTTTCACCATTTTATCATTCATCTATATGATTATACTGATTAATAGAGTTTTTATATCTCCTCAAATCCTAAATCAATATTCATACAAATTACACAATACATATAAGAATACCTTTGATATTTCTCATATTACAAAATGTCATCACAACTACACTAAATAAATACAAATAAATCTAATTAGTTTAGTACTTATTATAACATTTTAAATACAACTATATATGATAATTAATTGTATACAATTGAACAAATATATATTTTAAGGTCGGTAAATTTTTAGAAGAATTTTTTTTTTTATGAAAATGACTAAGCAAAAATCGGATTTGAAATTTGCTAATTAACAATAATACACACAAACACTTATAGTATTTGTTTCTATGAAATTTTTGTAAGATGAAATTTTTACAAAATTGAATCCTATTCATTGTCACGATGTATTAGACAGATTTAATATTGAACGGGATTTAAGTGTTCTTTACACTTAATTTGTTGGATAAATTTAAAAATATTAAATGAGATTTAACTATTTTTAACACTTGCTTGAATTCACTAATCAAAATTAAATATGCTCACATTACCAAAAATACATAATTTGTTCAATACCCTCTTTTCAAAGTCTTAATCCAATTCAATCCAAACACAACCTTTCAAATTAAAAACTAATTCACTAAATTAATATATACATAAAATATAATAATAAAAAACATTATCATTTTCAATATCATAAAAATCAATTATTAACTCATATTTAAACTCAATTAAAATCAACACATAATAAAGACATAATTCAATTTTATGTAATTAAAACAATTATTAAGTCATCTATCACAGATCAAATTTTCTATAAAAATTGCAAAATAAGATAGTTTTTCTTACCTTTTAATTTCTTTTGCTAAAATAAAATCCCAAAAACTCATAAATCTACCCAAAGTCAAACCCTCCTCACATAACACCTATGTTGGGATCCTAGTCACACATGCAAATTACTCAAATTTTTGTGTCTAAAAATTGGCAACGAAAAACTTATTATATTAAAAGTTTTGATAGATAGTAATTGTTTCATTTGACTTTAGGAACACTATGATATGCATGATATGTTTAAGAAAAGATGATAAGAGAGTGAGAAAGATAGGAATAAGTAGAAAAAGAGAATTATAGAAAGACAGTAATTTTATAAGAATAAAATTTAAATAATTAAAATTTTTTATTTATATATTTATTTTAATTTAATAAAAAATTCCAAATTTTATTCCATTAAGTTACTTTTATTCTTAACCTCCTTTAATTTTGCATCGTTACAAAAATCACCTAATAAAGTAATTAAAAAATTAGTATTATTATTTTATAAAGATGTTATATTAAACATATTTTCTAGAAAAAAATGTCTTGTAAAATTACATATTTTTTATGAATAACAAAAACATTGTATTATTAACGTCAATTCATCATTTCTATATTAATTTTATATAAAATAATTTATTAGGAAATATAAGATATTATTTTTATCATTTATTTTTATGTTACTTTTAATTACTTCATATTTACATTGCATATTAAATTTTAAGTATATATTTACTTAAAGCTACTCCTATGCACCTAATAAATATTGTACAAACACAAAAATCTTAAATATGCTTTTTTTAAATGATTGTTCTCATCATAGAAATTTTATAATTATTAGTGAATATTCAGTACATTGTACATGAATGTTTATAGCTTGTTGAATATATAAGAATTGAAAATGGAAAATAGTATGCAAAACTAATTGACTGAATGCCTAATTATTTTATGTATATTAAACTTAATTGTATATATTTTAAAATTTAAAATTCATTTTATTTTAACTGGTAATTTTTTTAATAAATTTATTATTTCACGACTCGATGTTGATTCATTACCATTTTTATTTGTTTCAGATCGTTTCGTTTCCTATAATAGAAAATTTGGAAGCGTAAATTATATAGAAATTACCACGTTTATTTTAAGTTAAAATATACTGATTTGAAAAGAAATAAATATACATTTAATAATATTCTTTTTTCCTAGAAGATTTAAAAATAAAGATATGTTATTTTTTTATTTTCTTTAATTATCCTTTCTAAATATATATTACACTATAAAAAATGTGATTAACTAATTCTAATAAAAAATATATTCTAAATCAAATATTTTATATTTTCAAATTATTATATAAAAATATGTATTAAAAATCACATTGTTATTTTTTAAAATATTTTTACAACTTCATATTACTTATAAAAATAAATTATAAAATATAAATATATTTATAAAATATTTTAAATTTTCATATAAAATTATTTTTAATTTATTATTTTTATTATTTTTTTAATATAATCATTTCATATAAATTAAATTTTAATTTTTATTTATTTATTTATATATATTCTTATTAAAATTTATATAATATAGATATTTTAATTATTTATCGAATTATTTTATCATTTAATTTTTTTAATCTATAATATCAATCTTATCAATCTAAACATAACATTAATTAAACGAGGATTATATAAAAATGTATAAAATGAGAGAGAAAGAGGAATTTTGATTTTAAAATAATAAGGTATTGAGTAAATTAAACCTGCATGTAACCCGTGTTTTATAATTTATTCAATTAGGTTAAGGTCATTACATATATTTTCAAAATCCAATAAAAGATAATAAAGTCCACGACATTTAAAATAATAATAATAATTCAAAAAAAAAAAACATATATCATAATAACAATAGACGAAATTAATGGTTAATGGTGCTTGTTATTTCCAGAAAAGAAAGTAATTGTTTCTTAAACATTAATATATATATATATATATATATATATATATATATATATATATGACGAAAAATAATTTAATAAATATATTGTCCATAATTATTGAATGTAATATAAAAATATTATGTAAGTAATCACACAAGTTATTACAATATTTAACCCATAAAGAGGAAAACATATATTTTTACTTGTCTGAGCTTCTTGATATTTATTTGTGGCTTTCAATGGATCATCCTGCTACAAGACACCTTGTGATTGAAATAAATTAGAAAATGGACCAAACGCTCGGTTTGTTTATGCCAGTCAAATGTCACCACTTGAATTAATTATCATTCCCATGTAATTAAATAATTATTTATTATGTTTTGGACAAAATGCAACTCAAATTTATGGTTCTTTTTGAAACTTGGTTAATATGTTATTTTATATATATATATATATATATATATATATATATATATATATATATTATTATACAGGTAATAGTGCGTACCAACATTATATTATTTTTTAATGCATTATAGATTTTTTAATTCCTCAAAATAATATTTATAGCAACTAAGAGTTTAAGAAAAATATGATCATTAAAATTAAAATTAATTATAATATGAAGAATGAACGTAAATTAATAAGAAAAAAAAGTATTTTGAAAAAAAAATGTTGACAAAGGTATATCTAAAAAGAGTTATCCATAAAAAAAACACATCTTATAGAAATTTAGATAAAAATAAAAAAATATTTTCCTCAATTGATCTCATTCACTCACTTGAAATAAATACAATGTACAAAAATGTATAAGCTGTAGTATTAGAAAACTAATTATAAACTAAATATATGTTTACCTAAAAAAATACAATAACAAAATATATTTACATATATGTTAACACACCCTTGTAGTCAAAGCAGGAGGACGACGAACACAAACTGTCCCTAAAATCATCAAACAACACACGCGAAAAATCTCTTACTAAAGATGTCCGCGATATGATATAATGAAGGAACATGAAAAACTTGAACATAATCACGTGCAACCTTTTCCTGTACAAAATGTATGTTCATCTCAATATGTTTCGTACGTTGATGTTGCACCGAGTTACCCGACAAATAGATAGCCCTAATATTGTCACAATATACCAAAGTAGCCTTGGTAACCGGACAATGTAATTCCAATAACAAATTTCGAAGCCAACACGACTCAGAAACCACATTAACAACACTCTATACTCGGTCTCTGCACTAGACCAAAAGAGTGTAGATTGACGTTTGAAGGACCATGATACCAAGTATAAGAAACAAGAGATGAGGTCAAAGATGAAGCACACCTTAGCGTTGGTGTCAATAGGTGTTGGAGACAACTTGCAAGAAAACATATCAGCCCGGTCAATAATTGCTTCGGCATATTTGTGTTGTGAAAGGAACATATCACCCTTATATCGGGTTACTGCAATGCCAAGAAAATAGTTCAAATGACCAAGATCCTTCATAACAAATTCTGAGCGTAGAAGGTTCATAATATATAATTAGAAAGCATGAGAAGGGACAATAAACAGTGGCGGATCTTGACCATTGATCTTGGGGGGGCCAAATAATATATTATTAATAAATAATAAATAAATATAAAAGGAAGAAAGAATATGAAAGGTTTAAAAGATAAAATTGTAGATATATACTTAAATATATTAAATTATCATTAAGTTTGAGAGAAATAAAATCATAAATTATATGAAAGTTACAAAACTGAGGAGGGACTGGAAGGATAAAATTGTAAATATACAAGTAAATATATTAAATACTAATTATGTTTGGGGGGGCCAAAATCATTAATTACATGGGAGTTACAAAACTTTGGGGGGGCCACGGCCCCCCTCAGCTCCCAAGAAGATCCGCCACTGAATAAGAATAATGTCATCAACATAGAGCAAAATGTAGGAGTCATGCCTTTGAAAAAGAAATAGAAAGAATGGTGCGAATGGTAGCTGGTTTCACTATCGGGCTAAAAGTTTCACAAAATATTTAGAATAAGTTATAATTACTAAAAATCAATAAAAGATTAAAAAAATTATAAAATTAAAGTAATTATAAGAAAATGAAGACGTTAATAATTATTATACAATCTATATAATGAAATGAAGATAATTAAATAAGCATATACGTGGTTCTACCCACATTATATTTTAAAATTAAAATAATTGTAGATATGTTTATAAATTATATAATTATTATAAAATTTTAGAATAATTATGTAACAACATTAAAATTAACATTATATGTATTACAAGAGACGAATAATATATTTATATGCATAAATTATACATATTATCACCATATTTTAGGTTATATATAATATATCCTAATTTACTCTTTTCCTACCTCAATATTTTTTTTAAATACTATCAACATTTTATCTTAATGTAAATTATTAATAATTTCCTTGTTGGTTTTTTATCATCTTAAACCTTAATTTATGTAATGAGGCATTAGTAAAATCTACAATTTCATTGAATCACTACAAATATAATTGTCCAACTAATACATCACATTATCTTCATGGTATAACTTTGTCATTTCCATACCTCTATCCCAAGCTGACTAGCTTCACACAAAGTACACACATCTCAATTAATTATAAGAACCAACTAGGTTTGACTCAGTCTTACATATCACACATATATGTATTAATTAACATGGGGTCTCAACCCATATTTCATCCATATTTCATCCATCGCATGAAAGTGATGAAGATCTTATTCAATTACTTTGGCAAAGATCTTGTTGATTTCATGAAGACAAAAATGAAGTCAAAGGCAAATTTGTAGTAATCAAAAGTCTCTTAGATAAAAGAGTAGAGGGATTAGTGTGTCTGCAGCTTTGCTTAGGTATAATCATTTTTTTCTTTCTGCTGCATGAGGTTTCTTCATTTAAAAGATTTTGCAAATGCCTCTAAAAAATGTTTAAACGGTTAAAAACAAAGTATTTTGATAAAAGTTTTCTTAACCAACTATTTTAACTAATAGCATATAAACTTTATCAACTAAAATGTTCTTAATACTTTTGTAACAGGTTTTTAACTGATATAATTTTGAGATAACCGATTGTTTTCATTAAAGGAAGTTTTGAAAACCTTCTGCCAATATTTTAACTAATACAATTTCGAAATAA